GGGGCAGCAATACTTTGGTGAGGGGCAGCAATACTTTGGTGGGGGGCAGCATGGCTGGGGTGGAGGGCAGCAATACTTTGGTAGCGGGCAGCACAGCTTCTGCTTCGGATGATACATTCTGGTCTGGATGTGCACTGCAATGGAAGAGACACTGAAGTGAGGAACTCTAGAACCTTAGAGACACTCAACCCAGGAGAACCGCTTGCCTCGTTCAAACCTGTGCCGATTGAACCTTGGCCTGGTGGCTTCACCGATTAAATGTGTCTGTGTGCAATGAGGTGCGTCAGTACAAATTGTAGCTACAGTTTGTAAGCCATAGCAAGGTTTTAATAGAGACAAATAAAGAAATACAGAAGGAAGGAAGGAAAGAAGAAAGAGAGGAAAAAAGGGTGAAAGGAGAAGAGTAATGGACAGGGGTAGAAAAAACAAAGATATAAAAAATGAGAGAGAGTCACACAGACAGAGAGAGAGAGGAGAGAGATGGAAAGAATAAGAAGGAAGGTCAGGAGTAATGAGAACAAAAGTATTATCCTTCCACAGCAGATACTGTGGAATGTAGGACATGATTTTCTTGGATCTTAGTCCTATCTCAAAAATTAACCAGCTGTGTGATTTTGAGCAAGTTACTTAACTTCTCTGTACTCTTCTTAAAGTTGTTGTAAAGATTAAATGAGCATATAAAACTCCACACAAACACATGTAAATAGACAGGTAAATATGAGTGTAAAGATATATGTGTGTGTGTGTGCTCACGTGGTCACACACACGAGAACCAAAACATGTTGAGTACTCTTGTAAAGATTTTGACTTTTTAAATAAATATCCAACAGTTGTAACAGAGCATCTTAACCACTCTCTAAGAGACTTCATAGAAAAGAGGCATCTGGAGACAAAAGGACCGTTTAGCTCGATACTAAATTATAGGTGAGAATGCAAATCTTAGAGAGGGGAGTCATGGATCCCCAGGCACTGAGCACACGGAGGTGGAACAATGGTCCCCGACTCCCAGAGCAGGACATGGCCGCTTTACCACCTCCTCTTGTCCTTGCTGCTCTGACATCCCTGGCTCTCTGCCCCCTGCTCCCTGAGGAGCTCTCCTGCCTCGCGGCACTGGCCTTTCCCTTCAGGGCAGCCCTGCCCTAGAGTTGGTGCCACCCTCTCATAACCAGCTCCGCTCAGCTCCTTGCCACGACAACAGCGCCACCACACACGCCAGCAGGACCCTCAATACAGAACTCTGGTCACATCCTGGACACCCATCTCAGCCCCTACCCCACACACTTCAGATGTTGCCTTGTAACCCAAGACAGGTGGGTCCCAAATGATACGGACGAGAGAGGTGCCCACACGGGGCCTTTCTTTCTGGCCAGCCACCCATTGTGCCAGCCCCAGCTGCCCGCGGAGTTTGGGACCAGGTAGAACCAGGCTCGCAGGAGAGGCGTTCCTTTGCCCGACTTACCTTAGTTCACCAGTGGCTGGAACGTGGAGATGCTGAGGCTTTTGGGATGCTCTAAGACTGCACACCTTTTATACGTCTCAGATCCCTCTTGGAAGACATGAGGTGGCCTACGATTGGGGCGTGCTAGGCCCTAGTCCAATAGGATGCATCTGCCCTTCCTCAAACTTGAGGTTTTACTCATCTCCTGGGCTGGCAAACTCACTCTCGGTTTGATGGCGCTTGAGGATGACAGTGCCTTCACGCGAGCCCTGGCACCATTTCCCCATCACTTTACGAGCCGTGGCTTCCTCGTGTTTCCAAACCCACTCGTGACGGTTTCCCTAGACCCTTGACTTCTGGGATGGTGCTAAGCAAGCATGCAGGACACTGCTGTGTGTGGGAGCGGTGAGGGTAGTGTTCCAGGATATTCCGGTTGGTGGGGGAAGTGTGGACCAACCAGCGTGCACAGCGAGCCTTGTTGTAATCGAAACAACTACTGAGGGGTGAGTGGCTCTTTGGGAGACCCAGTAAACTCAGCAAAGTTGGGACCATGACTTAACCTAGACTCAGAGCCACATTCAGCCTGAACTGGAAACAAACCTGGACAAGCCGCTTTAATTTTGCACCTGCTGTAATATAAACAAAAAATAGAGGTTGCAGCTCTCTCCCCTGCCTCTTGGGCAGCAAAACATTCCTCTTCATTCACAGAAGCTGGGTGGATACAGTTGACAGTACGTATCTCACTTACAGTTGTATAAGTCACGCAGACTGCAGGCTTCTCAGGGAAATGATTATCATAAATTGGAGAGGCTGGGGAGGTAAGAAACTTTTACCTGGCGTGGGCTGCTGGACGAGTCACCCGTTCTGGTTCCTGGAATCTGATCTCCCAGGGCTTCAGGGCTGATGCATCGTTCCCGTTCCAATTATAGATTCCAGAACAAAGAAGGATGCCACAGGGNTGGGTGTTTACAGTAGACAGTATGTATCTCTCTACATGTTTATAAGTCACCCAGACTCCAGAGTTCCCAACGAAATGATTATCATTAGGTGGAGAGACTGGGGAGCTAAGAAATATTGACTTGGCATGAGCTGCTGGACGAGTCACCTGGACTGGCTCCTGGATTCTGAGATCCCAGGGCTTGAGGCCTCATTTTCCTTCCTCTTCTGGTTCAAGATTCCAGAAAAAAGGGGGATGACACAGGGTACGTAGTTGGATGAAAATGATGAAACAGCATCTGACAAAGGATGAAGCATATCTTTAAATTATCCCCAAGTAATGTTCAGACTGGGGCTCTGACCTTTACCAGTTGGGTAACTTTGGGCACTATCATCTTTGAGTCCCACTTTCCTCATCTGCTAAAGAGGATAACACCGTTCTTTTTTTTATGGGAATTCCTTTTAATTTAAATATAGCAGTGTATACATGTCAATCCCAAACTCCCAATTTATCCCTCCCCCCTACCCTTCCCATCTGGTAAGCATAAGTTCGCTCTCTAAGTTTGTGAGTCTGTTTATGTTTTGTAACTAAGTTCATTTGTATCTTAGTTTTTAGATTCCACATGTAAGCAATATCATATGACATTTGTCTTTCTCTGTCTGACTCACTTCACTTAACATGATATTATCCAGGCCCATCCCTGTTACTGCAAATGGCATTATTTCTTTCTTTTTTATGGCTGAGTAATATTCTATTGTATATATGTACCACATCTTCTTTATCAATTCATCTGTTCTTAGACTTTTAGGTTGCTTCCCTGTCTTGGCTATTGTAAATAGTGCTGCAGCGAACATTGGGGTGCATGTTTCCTTTTGAACCATGGTTTTCTCTGCATATATGCCCAAGTATTGGATTGCTGGATCATATGGTATTTTTACTTTTTTAGGAACTTCCATACAGTTCTCAGTAGTGGCTGTGCTTATTTACATTGCCCCTAGCAGTGTAAGAGGGTTCCCTTTTCTCCACAGCCTCTCCAGGATTTATGGTTTGCAGATTTTTGATGATGGCCATTCTGGCTGGTGTGAGGTGATACCTCACTGCAGTTTTGATTTGCATTTCTCTAATAGTTAGTGATTTTAAGCCTCTTTTCGTGTGCCACTTGGCCATTTGTACGCCTTCTTTGGAGAAATGTCTCTTTGGGTTTTCTGCCTATTTTTTGATTGAGTTGTTGGTTTCCTTTTTCTGATAATGAGCTGCATGATTTGTTTGCACAATATATTTTGGAGACTAACCCCTTGTTGGTTGCCTCATTTGCAAATATTTTCTCCCATTCTGTAGGTTGTCCTTTCATTTGTTTATTCTTTCCTTTGCTGTGCAAACCTTTTGAGTTTAATTAGGTCTAGTTTGTTTGTTTTTATTTCCATTACTCTAGGAGGTGGATCAAAAAAGATCTTTCTGCAATTTATATCAGAGTGTGTTCTGCCTATATTTTCCTCTAAGAATTTTATAGTATCCAGTCTTACATTTAGGTCTTTAATCCAGTTTGATTACACTTTAYTTAATGCAGTTTATTTTTGTGTATGGTGTTAAAGAATGTTCTAACTTCATTTTTTTACAGGTAGCTGTCCAGTTTGCCCATTACTGTTTATTGAAGAGACTGTTTATCCTCCATTTTATAGTCTTTCCTCCTTTGTCATAGATTAATTGGCATAGGTGTGTGGCTTTACTTCTGGGGTTTCTATCCTGTTCCATTGAGCTATATTTCTGTTTTTGTGCCAGTACCATACTGTTTTTATGACTGTAGCTTTGTAGTATAGTCTGAAGCCAGGGAATCTGTACATCTGTAGTAAAGATTGTAATGGGCAACATACATAAAGTATGTGCCTAGTGTTTGGTGCAAAATTAGTGCTCAACAAATTTTGGGTGCTCCATGGAGTCAGGCTCTGAAGACTAGGGCAACACACTCTCAGAAGTAGGGAGTAGGTCATTTCTACATTTGAATACAAGTATTGGCATTTGCTATCAGTGTCCTAAGCCTTGACTGACAGAAATGGAAATAGGCAAGGTAGTCCTGAGGATGGACAGGATGACATTTTTCCTCTCAGACCTGGGATTTAGCCATAGCTCTGCTGAAAGCCTTACAATATCTGTAGATCTTGTGAATTCACACTGCAGCATGAGAATACAGGCTTGGAAGTCAATGGTCTCTCCCCTAGGACTCACCAGGAGGGCAGGCTGTGCATGGACTCAACACTGAAGGAGACCCAGAGGAACCCAGGCCTTCCTGGGAGAAGAATCCCTTCCATCTGGTGTCACCCTGACAGAAACAACCCTGATAGCCTTGGAGAGGGATTTCAGATCCGGTCCCTAGTAGCAGAGAAGAAAGGCCACGTGGGGTAGCTATCCTGGGACATTAATTCATCAAGAAGTAGTGAGCTCACACAATGCGCCAGACACTGGGGACGGTGGTCAGCAAGAAGGGCCAGACCTTCACTGTTCCCTAAACTGCTTCACATCCTCTTCACCACCTTCCAAAGCTGTAGATAATTTTCAATGGTTTGGCTTGGATTAGCAGAAGAACTCAAACCCAGCTGTTGCATTAACAATACCTGCGTAAGTAGAGAAAATATGAACATCAGCAGATCCGTGAGTTTTGGGTGTTACATCCTGTCAATCTTTTCTGGCCTAAGCCCTCACTACCCAGAACAGATTTTTGGGGGGTGGAATCTGTTATCTCAAGCATGCATTACGTAGTATTGCTTCTACCACCAGAGGGCAGAAGAAACAGGTACTCTAGAAGCCACAGGCACAACTAAATGCTTATCCTGGGCATTGGGAATGGTATTGTTCCCTGACTTTTGTTAGCATCACTCTTTCTTTTTCTCCAAGCCTCTGTCTCTCATGTACACATACACACACACACACACACACACACACACACACACTCTCACATACACACACATGAGTCTCTCCCATACTGTAGCAGTAAGTGTTTGTGGGGGCATAATGTCAATTCTCGGTAAAGGTGGTTGGATGGGAGGTGACATTTTCTACCAATTTCCAAAACACGTGTGCATACTCCCTACCTACCATTGATCCATGTCTAGCAGGCATGTGACCCTGCTTCCTCTGCATGGCTCCCATACCCTAAGACTCCATATGGTTCTTGAGAACATTTTTCCCCTTCAGGTTTCCCTTGGTGCTCATATCATCTTCATTTTACTTGCATGAACATGAACATTTTGGTGAGGTATTGGGGATGAGAGGAAGGAGGTGGGTGCTGGACCTTACTCCCCCGGATGTCTCTGCCTTGCAGAGAGACAACTGCTAGCTTGATTTCTAGTTCTAGGCACTTGGTAGCACATTCTACCTGAGAAAGACCAGGACCTAGCTGGGTAGAAGGTGAAGGGGCTGAGCTTTGTAGGGATCTAGTCAGTCATCAAATGCACAGGAAGCAGACACCATGCCTAGTACTCTGGAGTCTGGGGAACTGAGTGACACACAGGCCCAGCCTTCAAGGAGCAGATGATTTTCCTGGGGAGATAAAGCCAGCCCAGTGTGACAGAGGCACTGGATCTGGGAGGCAAACACCATGAATCAGGACCTAAGAGATGATATGGAACAAGGGAGGCACAGGACTCAGAGGAGTGGTCATCCCTCTGGGCTGGGTCAGTGTTGACAGCGAAGCATCAGGGCAGACAGGAAAAGCTCCTTGACAGGGGGCTCCTTCAGGGCAGAAACACTGACTTCATCTCTGTATCCTGGTACCTAGCAAAGGTTCTGGCTCAGATTCAGAGCTAAATATATTTCTGTGAAACGAATGAGGACATTCCAGGCAAGGGAATATAGGCTGAGAAAACATGTGAAGGTGGGAAGATGCTATGTGTGTTGGGGGAAAACAAAAACAGACCAACCTGGCTGGAATGGATGGTCAGTTCTAGTGAGCAGTGGCGGTGGGACCAGACCCCAAGGAAAGCAGAGCAGCCAGGAGAGCTAAAGAGCTGAAGCCAGGAGAGCTGAAATTGCAGGGCAGAAGGCACAATTGGGAGGCCTAGGTTTTGATTCTAAATACTGCAGAGGTGCCCCTTTATCACACGCTATACGTTTAAAAAAAAATTCTATTGGTTAGCTTAGAGAGGCAGATAGGCATTGGCTTATAGTCAGAA